CTTTCTCCCGCGGAGCGGCTGGTAGTTTCGAACCGCTGACCTTAAGGTTCGCAGCCCGATTCGTAACCACTACGCTACCAGAGCTCCTTATGAGAATAAGGTAGTGTTTTAAAAGTGATGCTGCAGTGATGCTGTGAGAATTGGGAATTCTGACTTTGGGAACAGGGATTAAGCTTTTCAGCATTTCATACAGTTTTAAAAAGAATAACATACAAGAAATACATTAATTTACTTTTCTCTAGTACTCTAGTACTGTAGACCACAGCACAATTTCCTTGATGTTTGAAACTGGGTGTCTTAACTCTTACGTTGTGACACCTGTGAGAGCCAGAATTTGATGGGACAGCCTTTGACAAAGTGCAGTCTTCCCTCTTTTCTATTGCTCATTTTAGTGCAAAAGGTTTCTACTTTATACAGGTTCTGACTTTTGCAGGTATTGCTATAATTCAGTTACTGGAATTTGAAATTTTTTATGAGCAAATAGTAACAGACAAATGAACTTGGTTTAACCAACAAATCTGATTTTAGACAGATAGAAAGTAAAATGGCAGTACTTTTCATAAGTAAAAATTGAACTGCTGAAGATACTGTTCTCTTAAAATGTACCCCTTCTAGTTTTCAGAATCTGCTCTTATATCTGAAACATAATGTTTCTGTCTGTCTGTAAAATAATGTATCCACAAAAGGACAACCAAATTAATTTTCATTTTTAACAAAACTAAAGCCATTAAATCAAATGAAAAGGCTTTTAGAAATTTTTTAGGCATTCTTGTTCAAACTTGTAATAAACCTGTACAAAAAATAAAAAGGAAAAGTACTTAACAATACTTGATAGAATTTGGGTCTCCCGATTCTTACTCAAATGTGTTTTCCCTTCACTTGATGATTTTTTGGTTAGAGATAGTGGCTTTTTTAAAAATTTTTTTTTTAAGGTTTTTATTGTGGATTGAGTGAAAGTTTACGGGGTACATCATCAGCTTCACATTCAAACATTCATATACCTTGTTTCATTACATTGATTATAATAATCCCCTCCACATACCATCAGTTAACAGTGTTTCTATCTTCTTTAGCTTTTTATTTTTTTTGGGAAAAACTTTGCCTTTTTGGAATTTACAGTCTTGGCTTTTAGGGAATGTTTTTACAGTTATCTGTAGATATCCAGGGCTCATGTATGAAATTACTAACCAGCATAACTGAATAATCAGATGAGGGAAAGTTAGCTATTTCTGCTAGGTGGCTATAGTTTGATCCTCAGAGCCTATGGTTTGGATAGTCTGCAACGTTTGGGACCACAGGACCTCAGACTCCTGACCGAGTCTGTACAGTCTGCACCAGATTCCCCCTTATTTATTATTTGTTTACAGCACGCTGCCTGTCTTAGGCGGTCAGTGCGAATTCCCCTGTCTTACCTGTCATCGAAACTCATTGCAGCATGACAATCGCTCTGTCTTAGGTTGCCGAGGTTCCACATGATCCTTACCCTCTC